CCATCACTCAGCTTCGTAGTTCTCCTTCAGGTCCTTTTGGAAAAGTGAGTTAAAAGCTACAGAAAGCTCCCAAAGTGCCACCTCAAACTGACTTAAGGACCAGGGTAGGGAGGACCTGGCTGGTGGCACCTATCATAACCTCAGCCAATGACTGTGGGGAGGAAACTCTGAGAACCAGTTCATACTGTTTATAAAATATGTGAGCTCTAAAAGGGAGATAAGACAAAACTATACCAATTATGTGCACATGTAAAAATGTATATAAAAGATGTACACTTTAGGGTTCTGTTTTAGAAATGAAAGAATCTTAATGACTGCTTAACTAGTTCAACCCATTATTTTTCAGAAGGAACATTAAGCCCCTACCAGGTGAAGTGACTAGTGACACAGGCTGTTCTGGAAGACAGAGAATTAGAACCTACCTACCAGAGTCTGGAGTCTGAGGCCTATACTGTTTGCATTCTACCACTCCCCCCTCGGCTGGGTGCTAACTGAATTAAGTACGTATTATAATAGCAGAGGGAAGCAAGTCATGTCTGAGTCAGAAATAACAAGAGTGAGGTTATGTCTTTCACAGAAGGGGAGAACGTGGTAAAAACAGAAGAAAACAATAGGTGGAAACATACGAAGACTTGCTTTTTTCTTTTTTTAGGTAAATCTTTAACAAACGGGCTTTTGTTTCAGTGGCCCCAAAAACTCAATGCAATTCCTCTCCTTTTCACTCTAGAAATCGTATATAAAATCATTCACGACAATGAAAAGGCAGGCATCTTTACCACGGCCTCTTTCTATTCACGTCCTTCATGAAATAAATTTATGTGTCTGCTAGAAGAAGTCAAGAAATATTTCTAGATAAAATCGAGACTATGACGACCACGGTGAGTTGAGTACTCTTGGTAGTCTGTGCTCGAAATGGAGGCCTTTTCGTTCATTCACCTAGCAAATATTTACTAAACTCTTACTATGGTTAAGTGCTGTGCTGTCCTTAGATCGAATCAATGTAATTCCTGCCCCTGCAGAGCTTAGAGTCCAGAGAAAATAAACAGGTAAACACCAGTCAAAGCTCTATAGGCACCACGGAATTTTAATAAGCATCACTGGATAATAAGGGAAGGTGAAAGACAGTATTTCTGAAACAGTAGCAGTAAACTGAGACCTATAAGATAAGTGGGAGTCAGCCATGAGAACAAGGGGGGAAAGAAAGAACAGATTATCTTCTGTATATGTACTAAGCTGATCTGAGATCCACTACCTGACTTCTGGTAGGCTCCATACATCGTCGTTTTCAAATGTACAGTAATAGCCTAACCCAGGGAAATGTTCTGCACAGCTGAGAGGTAATTTCGTCAATAATAAGAGCAGAGTAAGAGCTAACATCTATTGGGCACTTACTGTATACCGGGTAATCTCCAGTCATTTCTCACACATACATTCTCACACAATTCTCTCAAGTCTCACACATACCTTTCAAACGATATCTTAGATAAACAATATTGGATTAATCATCAGCCTGAGGTTCATGATACATGTTAATAATTAGGCCAAGTATGTCCTGTCCTTATTTAGATGTTTAATTAATTATTGGTAATAAATATCCAAGAATTACCAGCAAGACAAAAGATAACAACACCTTGGGAAAATTTGTATCGAATATGATCCCCTCACCTAGGGTAACCATCACCTCGGATCCTAGATTTATCACCTCCTTGCTTTCCTTGTTTGACAGTTTTATTGCACACTTCATTAAAAGTGTGCTGTTTCATTTTACTTACTTTTATTTTTATAAAAAAAGATAACAGGGCGAATGTAATTTATGAGACTAAGACATAGTTACACGTTGTAAATCATTAGTTTTGACTCGTATAATATCACAGTTTATTCATTCACTAAGTGATGGGCATTTGGGTTGCTTGCAGGTTTTTGCTACTGTGTATAGTGCTATGAATATTCATATGCATGTGCATGCTTACATGGACACCTCTGCTACAAACTTACCCTCTGAGCCCACGACTGGAACTGCTATGTCCCAGGGCATGTGAACGTTTAACTTGAGAAGGTAAAGCCTCCCAGATTCATCCACTTACATTCCCACTGACAGTGTATAAAAGATCCTGTAGACCACGTGTTCAGTACTTCACATTGTCAGGCTTGATTTTTGTGGACAAAAAAGGCATAAAACGATAACTAACTGTGGTCTTAATTTGCATCTCCAAGACCACCAATGATACTGAACATCTTGTTACGTGTCTATGGGCCCCGTGTATTTATTCTTGCATGAAATACCTGCCTACTCTTATGTCACTTTTTCGACTGGGTTTTCAGTGGCCTTAACACTGATTATATTTTTAATATATATTTTTTATTCTAGCACATTCAGTAGCATGGATCAAGAATTTGAAACTTGTCTTTTCACTTTTGTTATGGAATCTTAACAAATAATAGCTCTTATTTTTAATTTAGTCAAATTTATCTCTTTTCTAGTCAATGACTTTTAGTGTCATGTTGAAGAAATCCTTCCTTATACCAAGGACTGCGATATTTTCTAATATGAATTTTGATGTAAGTTTTTAATCCACTCAGAGTTGATTTTGTTGTTGTTGTTTATACGGCACCAAGTACAGATCAGCTTACTTCTTTTTCCAAATAGACTCTCCCCAGCTCCCCTGAATGTGCGGGGGTCTCTCTATACCCAACTGACACGGCACGCAACCCCCGTCTTATACCGAAGTTCTGCGTGGGTCTGCTTCTGACCTCGCTATCCCATCATGTTGGATCAATTTATTGATCCCTAAATGAAATGCTACAGCTTTAATTACAAAAACTTCATAAGCCCTGATTACTAGGACAACGTCCTCACTCCACTCTTCTTTTTTAGAAGTGTCCTGGCTGTCCCTGGTCCTTTATGTTTATGTAAATCTAAAAACCATTTGTGGAAGAGAGACACTGTTCCATGATGCGACCCGGGGCCAGGTTTACGCATCCCGTAAACACCCTCACAGACTGGCTGATGGTAATCAATGCTTCCTTCCGCCATAAACCAGTACCTCCCCGTGTCCCATGGAGTGCTGGTTCCTGGAGCAGGCCATCGTCCTCACTGAGTCAAGCATGGAAAGCACATTCCCTTACCTGGAACTGGTCACGTACTGGTCTCCTATCCACCCTGCCCTGTTCTATTTAATTCTTTGGTGCCTGCCAAGCAGTGTGGACAATATCGAAGTCACCTTGCAGCCACCCATGAAGTGCCTTATGTCTATGTTTCCCTTAATAAACTCTGTTAGATGCCAGGCCGGAGTGGCCAGCTTCTTTCTTCCATCTTCTCCTGTCCTCTACTTTCGGAGGTAGATTTTCAGTCTCAGGCTCTTCCCTGGGTCTGAGTGTATAAATGCCATTTTTTGCACTTCATGAAAAATTCTCCTCTTATGCACATATTAAGGGGAAACTGGTCCTTTCTGATGTCAACCCTTCCTATCCTTGGAGCCAGGATATCTTTCCAGTTGTGTTTTCTTTAATACCATTAAATTTTTACCTGTAAATCTTGAATGTCTTTTCCTATTTCCGGGTAGTTGATATTCTTTGATGCTACATAAATGGTATCTTCTCATTAATTATGTTTTCTCATAATTGCATTTCTGCATACTATCAGGAAACCTGTATATTAAACGTACCTTCACTCTTAGCTAAATTTTCCTATTATTTCAAATAATTTACCTGTAAATTACTTCAGGTTTTTTTAAATGTAATTAATCACCTGACAATTTATTATTATTCCCAAATTACGGATGAGTTACCTGAGACAAAGAAAAGTTAACTATGGAAATGAAGATCTCATAGAGTGTCTGTACACCCACATACACTGCAGCATTATTCACAAGAGCCAAGAGGTGGAAACAACCTAAGTGTCTACCGACAGATGAATGGATAAAGAAAATGTATATACATACATTCGAGGGTATATTTATTCAGCCATTAAAAAAATAATAAGAAGAAATCCTATCACTTGCAACAATATGGATGAACTCTGAAGACATTATACTAAGTGAAACAGGCCAATCGCAGAAGGAAAAACACTGCATCATTCCATTTATATGAGGGATCTAAGTATGTAGTCAAGGTCACTGAGACAAAAAGTAGAATGGTTTTTGCCAGGATCTGGGGGGGAGAGAGACATGGGAGGCTGCTATTCAATGGATGTAGAGTTTCAATCACGCAAGATGAAGAAGTTCTAGACATTTGCTATACTTGTAGTTTATACTGTACACTTAAAAATTGAAAAAGGTAGATCTCATTATGTATTTTCTGCAATTAAAAAAAAAAAGGTTAAGTAAATTGCCCATAAAAACAGTAAACAGAAGTGAGATCCAAATCTAGGCAGTCTGAGCTCTCAATTACTGTGCTGCTTGCTATCACGCATATGAAAAACAATACGCAAATACAGAAATAAAATTTTACATATTTTCCAGTCATATATTGAATAGTTTTAATTTTTATACTTATTCCGCAAGAATACTATTCACTAAGGCTACATATATAATCATTTATTTAAATTAAGAGTTGAATATTTTTTAAATTCTTCATATGTATCACACCTAAGAAGATTCTTCTTTTATATCTTAGGGTTAAAGCTTTCCCTAATTCCTAATTGTTTTCATCAACAAATAACTTTTAAAATCCTATGTCAGATAAGATCACTTCTCTTTCAGCCAAAGTTAGGATTTTATAAATTTTTAAAAATTAAATGTTCAGCACTATAACAAACACAACAAGTAGCAGAGTCCAAAGACAGAGACAAGTTCCTTAAATCACACATTCAGCTGTGAAATGACAATTGGAAACCTAAGTATATTGGAAAACTGTCTAAGCGACAGACACTGGATTTAACTTTAATTAAAGAAAAAAAAAAACTTTAAGGAAACAGTTTTCCTTTATAGTTAATGAAACATATGAAATTACTTTCCAATATCAGCATTTTTTTTCCATTTCAGTTTTTCCCTTGGACTTACCGCCTGGCAGACACTGGCATTTCTGGTTTGGGTTATTCCTCCCACAAAGACCACACAGGTCAGGAAAATATGAAAGCACAAGTTCACAAGCATGTGCCAGCCCTTGAGACTGATTCTAATCAAACTGTTAAAAGAAAGAGGAAAATACTAATATTTAGGCTAGTACATTTGAAGCAGGACACTGTAATATTTGTCTTCAAGTGAACAACTGCAATAGCCTAAAACGCCAAGTTTAAATGTTTAAACATTTCATTTAAAAAACATATACATTCAAACAGACAGACAGACACACACACACCCCCCACACACACATTTTGAGAAATCACTGAACTCAATACAGTTTAAGATTTAACTTTATGTACTAAAAAGGACAAGTCATTTATGGAACTACTGTAACCATTGAAGGCTAAACAAATTCTCCATAATAAGAAACATGTGGCTTTTGTCAGTTACGATGCTTTATGACAGAGGAATCACTTGTTTGCTTCCTACAGACTTCTACAAAGTGCCAATCTCTATTTTCCTGACCTGTGACTACCCAGTGCATTTCCTCTTGGCCTCTCCTAATGAAATGTCGAAGTCTGTCTTTCTTTTTTTTTTAATATCGAAATCTTTTGTTTAACGAAATGTCAAGAAATGTCATATGTCCGGCCTAAAGAGGAAAATACATTCCAGCGAAACCTCTTGTAAAGTGAATTTCTGCTTAGCAGATCCTTTCAGGTCACTGTTCCCTACCGTAAAATGACTTCCTGCAGCTCTGCCTCCCATGAACAAAAACCGTATTCCATGCTTAAATGCCACATATTTCCTTAAAAATGCCATCTACAAAATAAAGACTATCACGACAGGTGAAAACTCATAAGCCAGGAATAATGCCACAGGTTGGTTCTGGCAGCCACCTCTGCAGGTAACGTGCTTCCACCAAACTTCACCCCTGCTGCTCCTGCGTCCCGCCTCCCAGCCTCCAACATGTTCCTCTCATTCCTTCCCAGACACGAACCCAGCAAACTGTCTGGGTACCATAAAAGATGAATTGAACATCTCATCTACTAATTATTTATATCTCAAACTGCATAAAATGAACAAAGCTTGTATGTATTCTAAAATCACTGCTCTTACTTTGGAAAGATGGCATCGTATTAAACTTAACTTTATCCTAATTAAATGTAAAATTATCTCTTGTAAGTCAAGTTTTATTTCTTACCTGTGATGGTATATGTAACTGACGATGACTGCTAAGAGGCATAAGAGAAGAATGACAGCAGTAGTGTAAATCACAGGATGCAGGAGGCTGGCTGCCTGGGTATAGAGTTCAGAACCTGTCAAATCCTGAGAGGGAAAAAAAAAAGCATCATTCTAGTACTTTTCTGAACATAATAACTCCTGAGATTTTCTACAGTGACTAAAACAGACTGATAAACAAAACTCTGGTCCTTACATCTCTTCATGTTTTTCAAGGACTAATGTTTTATGCTATTTTTCTCATATCTTACTTTGCCTTCCTAATTTCCACTGTGTTATACGTACAGTATATATGCTTAAGGTGTGTGTGTGTGGGGTGTGTGTGTGTGTGTACATACTCTTGCTCTACACTGTCTACTCCTGTCCTATACCTGCTCTATAAATCTGAACACTGACATTGCTATGAGGGTAATGGAGAGAACCAGAGCCCACGTGTGGGTGATTTAGAAGGGGCAACCCCAGACTTCATCTTGTTTAATGCCCTTTCACCTCACTTATCACTCTGCATATTAACCAGCTGATTAGGCACAAAGCAGCAGTATCTCTACGTCAGCAAAGACTAAACAGACCTCGCTAACCACCTGCAGTCAAGTTCAACAAATATGAATGGACTAAACACTGTGCAAGGCACTGGGGACATAATGATAACACATGGTCCCTGTCCTTGAAGAGCTGAAAGTCGTGAGGGAGACAGATGCACAATCAGATCAGAACAATGTTCGATGAAGGTAAGGGCAGCCCAGGTACGGAAGCAAAGAGCTCGAAAATCAATAACAGTCAATAATAACAGCAAGTCACTTACGAGGCATCAACCGTAATCCAGGCACCGTGCCAGCACTTCACAGAGTGACCCTGTGAGCTGCATAAGATTAGCCCCTCTTTATAGCCTGAAAAACTGAGGCACAAAGAGGTTAAGTACTTGAGGATGAGACGTGGCTGCCACGTCTGGGCTCCCAAACGCGGTGCAGACAGCACCTCCCTGAAAGGAGAACCGGGGACATCTTAAGGCTTCCTTCCTTTTAAAGGACCAAAGCAGACTGGGAGGATGCCTCCAGCTTGGCCAGGTCTGCTGTGCCAGAAAAATGGGGTTACAGAAGTCGGAAGCTGTAGACTCACCAGATGCTGTCACTAGATCGTTTCTAAACGAACTCTGAAAGCTTGAGACAGTACCCGAAAGGAGAAAAGCTAGATGACAAAAGGAAAGGATGAACGGGAGGCAGGAAGAGTGAAGAGGGACTCAACAACGCAAGGAAGGAGGGGGCAAATTCTCTCACAAAAAATCAAGTTGACAGTATATGATAACAGATCTAAAATGCGCCAACTAGAACATCTTAACAAGCCCTTCTCTGTAATGAATGGTTAACAGAGGTCCATGGGCAACTGGAGATGACAAGAAAAACTGAATTCCAGCCTGAGTGCTCCACTACACCGTGATGCATCTCAAACCTGCGATCCATCTAACTGCTTGACAAGTGTTAACTGGGTGCCCACCTCGTTCAGGTCCTATGCCAAGCACTGGATATTCACGGAAATGGGGAACGTAGTCCCAGCCTTCGAGGGCTGGCAGTCTGCAAACGAAGTACCCGAAAGGGAAAATACGAGAGAAGAAGCCTGTGACCACGAATTCTGATCAACTGGCCTCTGTGAGATGCCCTCAAGACTAACCCATGGCCTTAGTGTCTTTGCATTTTTGCTAACAGTCCGGAAGGTTAGCGGGAAAAATTCAAAAAGATGTACTTTGGGGGAAGGAGAACCAGTAAGATACTAGCAAGAGTGGACAAGCTCTCCCCTCAATTTCTGGGAGAGACCATCCCAGTGCAGAATAACTGAGGCTAAACTTCCAACATCTAGGATTCGGCCTCTAGCTTCCTCTAAGCATGGCCTGCGTCATATTCCTCTAGGAAAATGCCAGTGACGTGTCTCCACAGTCTTTGGCAGAGAGCCATAAAACAGGTGGCTGGATATTATCTAATCAAACATCAAAGTGCCAATTCAGTTCTCAAAATATATTGCATGTAACATTTACATTAAAAAAAAAATTTTTTCAAAAGCTAAATGAATATGACATAGTATGAGAAGGAAAACAGATTTTGAACCAGAACAATGACTCATAATTCTGAGTTACGACTGAAGAAAAAGACGCGTACTACTGTCATTGGTCACTGATGGCACTGCTTCAGCAAGGACATTCCTGGTTGTCAAAACAAGCTCACCTGCCCCAATGACAGAGAAACTGACCTAGGCAAAGGAGAAGCTATTATGCAGTAGTTACTAACTACTAACCAATAAAAAATTTTAAAACCACTCTTAGCTTTCCAGCATTTAAAACCAATCAACCGCCCACCCGCCAACAGCAGCAGCAGCTAACTGGACTGGGCCTGTGTGTCAAATATTCCCTGGGGTTTACAGACCCCTGTTATAAAGCGACCCAATAAGATATGAAAAATCTCCTACCCTGAGGGCACAAAATTCTTGAGAATGTAAGAGTATTTAAGACAATTGAAAAGATTAGGATAGGAAAGATGTTAAAGATCTCAGAGAAGAGATAAAGTAGAAATGCAAATCAAAACTGTTTTTAATTATACTAGTAAACAAATATAGGCTTGTGATACTGAAACATTACTAAGTATACTGTCCAAAAATGGCCACTAGGAGACGCCCATGAGAAGAAAATGTGAAACTGTCATTCACATTTGCAATACAGTGATAAGATAGCAAGTCTCTGCCTCTGGGCTGATGACAGGAGGACAGCCCATCACTAAACTAAATGGTGATCATAATCACTCTTCTTTATATGGTAGAAAGTTTAAGAAAATAACTGAGCTAGGAAGTGAAAAGTTTTCCACAGAAGTTAAGTGCATGAATGCAGAGTATCAGAACACCTGAAAGTGTGTTAAAAATCACAAAGATGGTTATTATTAAGGACTCAAATAAATGGGAGAGTTCTTCAAACTCTTTTTTTCTTGAAAAAGAGTCACACATTTACCAGTTACTTCTAGCCCGAGAATTACTAAATGTAAAAATCATGCCAGGGGAGAAAAATCACTGGCAGTTTTAAATAACTCATTAGCATCATATCAACAAGGATAATTATAAACCAGTAACTACTTAAATTCTCTAGGATCCGAACAATAAAAGTTAAGTATACATATATTATAAACTATATATATATTACACATTACATTATATATATGAGAATATATATATTATATATATATATATATCTCCTCTGGCAGAGTATAAAGAATTATAAAAGAGTTTACCAATAAAATAAAATTTAAAAATAGATCTGAAATCAGAAATGTAACCTCCCCCCAAAAAAACAACAAAAAAAATCACCACAGACTGACTTCTTTGTTACGTTTTACTTTTCCCTTAAGAAAGAAAAAATAACTTAAAAATTTACTCCACCTACATCACACCATCCACAAAAGTCAATTCCAGTCGAATCATGGACCTTAATGTGAAAGGTAAAACATACTAAAGCTTTTTAAAGAAAACAAAGGAGGATACCTTCATGACCTTGATGTAAGTAAAGATTTCTTAAACAGGACATAAATAGCACTAATTATATATAAAACACTTCAAAAAAAAAAAATCAAGAAACTGTTCATAACAAGACAGTATTGAAATAAAAAAGGATAAAGGTATTTTATAAGCTGAATGTTTGAGTTCCCTGCCCGGAAAAAACATGCACATATGTTGAAATCTAATCCCAATGTAATGATATTAGGAGTCGGAGCCTTTGGGAGGTGATTAAGTCATGAGACGAGAACCCATTCACAAATGGAATTAGTGCCCATGTAAAAGAGACCCCAGAGAACCTCCCTGTTCCTTCCACCATGTGAGGACAGAAAGTGGGCCCTCACCAGACACCGAAACTTGATCTTGGACTTCCAGCCTTCAGAGTTTTGAAAAATAGATTTCCGTTGTTTATAAGCTACATACTCCGTGGTTTTCTGTTCTAGCAGCCTGAATGAATTAAGACAGGCATGGAGTGGAAGAAGATACTTATAACACATAAATCCAACAAAAAGCTTCTACTCACTATTGACATCAAGAATCCCGGTAAGTCAGTAAGAAAACAATATACAACCAAATTAAAAATTGGCTAACAGTTAATAATAGGATGGTATATTTGAAAGTTGCAAAGAGAAATCCTAAAAGTTCTCAACGCAAGAAAAAACATCTTTCCTTTTCTTCTTCTTTTTTTTTTTTGGTATCCATACTGGATGATGGATGTTAACTAAATTTATTGTAGTTATCATTTCACAATACACATAACTCAAGTTATTGTGATGTACACCTTAAACTTAGTGCTGTATGTCAATCATATCTCAATAAAACTAAAAGGAAAAAATTTAAAGTCAAACATAATGAAAAAAAATAGGCAAGACTTGAGGAAGAACATCCCAAAAGGGGAAACCCAAACCGACAGTAAGAAAATGCACTGGTGCTCAACACCATTAGTCACCAGAGGAAGGCAAATGAAAACCACAATAATCTAACAAAATAGCACGACCAAAGACTAAAATTAAAGGCTTACAATAGCAAGCACTGGCAAGGACGTGAAGCAACTAAAACTCTCATTACGGTGAGACTGTAAACCACTTTGGTCAACTGTATGGCATTATCTACTAAAGCTAAATATAGGGATAGACTACAATCCCAGCAATCTCAGTCCTGAATGTATGTGTCCACAGAAAAACATGTGCATAATTATAGCAGAGTTTTCTTAGTAGTCAGAACCTAGCAACAACCCAAATGTCCATCTGCAGTAGAACGCACAAGTTTCGATATTTTATACAACGGGAAAAGAATAAACTGCTGCTATGAGCAAAAACAAAGATAAAGCTCACAGATGTAAGTAACAGGGAAGAAACCAGACACAAAAGAGTACATAGTGTACAATTCCAATTCTGTGCAGTTTAAGAACAGGTAAAACTTATCTATTGCAATCATCATCAGAAGGGTCTCTCTCGAGATGGGAATGGGAATCAACTAGAAAGAAACACAAGGGAGCCACCAAGTGCTCAAGTAAGAATCTTGATCTTGATGGTAGCAAATGTGTGTATTCAACAAAAAAAAATCAAGCCATACACTTAAGATCTGTGCATTTTGCTCAATATCTCAATTTAATAAAAAAAAATATATATATTTATCAGTCCCCCCTTGGATTACCAATTCCACTTCAGAGAATTTATCCAGCAGATTTCTTATTAAATGTGCAAAATATTGTACAAATTACTGCAAACAAATAAAATAGAGGGGTATCTAAATAAATTATGGTAGGGACATAAAATAATACTAAAAGGTAAAAAAGAATAATTTATATTGATAAGGGAAGACTTCAGAAAGGAGATTCAGTAAAGCGATTAAGAACACAAATTTCTGGAGTCTGAATTCAAATCTCAATTCCAACACTAACTTTGCGGACTTGGCTGTGGTGCTTAAGCTCTCTATGCCTCAGTTTCTCTATCTGTACAATGGGGTAATGTTAACAGTAGTATATTTTATGAGGCTGTTATGATGAGCAAATAAGTTAAAGCATGTAAAGACTTCAAAAGCGTGCCTGATACACGAGTGCTTAATGAAAATTAGTCACTACCATCCCCACCACTGCCATCATCATATCATTGTAAGATAGCAGTATCACCAACATCATCATCATCATCACCTTCACCACCACCACCACATCTATTACTCCATGGAGACCAGCATCATCCTAAAATAGTTTCGTGGAAAAAAAGCATGGTTTAGAATAATGTTTGTAGCAAGCAACCTACTTTGTGCAGAATGACTGTGATGGGAGAGAGGAGAGGGACTCAAGTTTACACTATAGATCAACGTGAAGAAATCATTAAAATGTTTGATCCACATGAATGTAGTACCTATTTAAAAATGACATAAACAGAAACATACTAGCATTCATATTCAATTAAAGAGTAAATGAAACTGAAGTTTGCTTACCTTCAGCAAGTTTATATAAATAATATTTAAAAGTAACACTAGAGAGATATAAAAAGAAGTGTGTGCGCTCTAGTTAGGTGATACAATGACGAAGGGGAATCAATGTACTGAGATTATTTTACTTTCACTACTATTACCTAGTAAAGTAAGTACTGCACAAATGGTTTTACCCTAATCATTATCTACCTGCTATTTAAGTTATTTTTTTAGTGGCCCCAGCTTCTAGGACCTTCCTGTCCCAATTGGCTATCCCTGATCACAGCATTCAAAAAAGCCCAATTTCTGCTCAGCTTTTTTTCTCTGGCTCCCACTGAGACCTTAGGATATAATTGGTTATAGCAGGATATCTACTAAACCAAACCACGGTGTCTTGAGATTTACAAACAAAATATTCTTTTTCCTTCGTTTTTTAAATACAAAATTCTTTAAAAGCAGATTGGGAAAAGTTTTATGGTCTATCTGACAAACAGAAATTAAGACTGGCTATATTAAACGATATATTAAGATAGTTTTCACGAAAAATAGGATTTTATATACTATTTGAAATACTGTCAGGGAAGGAAAAAAGATGTTGATTTACAACTTTGGAAAGACATTTCTTCTATTTTAGACATCACTTTATTTGAGTACGTATACTCTGTCTTTAACTTTGCCTTTAACTCTAAAAGTCTCATAAACGAATTTTACTATAATTTTGTCAACTTCAGATCAATTTCACTTTGCTGCCTCTAGGTGGCACAGTTATATTTAAGAAAAACAAAAGGATATTCTGAAAATAGAAAAAAATCTTAGTACTTACTATATTTTAGCTTTAAAGAATTGTGTATTGCGTTTTTTAAAAGATTATAAGTATGAAAGATAAAAGAATAGCTTATTTCTTCTAGAAAGGGATTATACTAATTTAAATTATGTAGAACAGCTAGGAAATTCAAAAACAGATGCTTTAAACTGGTATTAGATTAAATAAAAATAAAAGTTTCACATAATAACCTGATATTTCACTAACAGTGAAGCTTATAAAATGCCTGTCTTGTGTTTCATTTACTCTGCCCAGCTTTTTCCAGTTAACTACGATATAAATTTCAGACAATTCTGCATCTCTATTAGTTATTTCTCCTTCAGTACTTCGTAGTTTGGGGTTATTTTATAATCAAAACCTGAATGAGAAAACCCTTTCATACTGAAAGAGAAAATGCTTCATACTTTAATTAATGCTCCATGCTTTACTCTGGAAAGGTTATTATAAATTGGTATGATGTGAACTTACTGAAAACAGACTCAGACTTACAGAAATCTCCTATTTGTGAGAGAATCCTAAACTATCAACTCTTACTTTAAACTGAAAAGGGTAAATGACTCACACAAATACAGCCGTCTAAATAGTAGAGACCCCGTCTACTGTCAGCTGGGATGAATAACAAACATGTTAATGGATGTCACTGAAAAGACAATCCTTATACTCTGCTAAATAATCTATTTACTCTTCCTGTTTGACAGGTATGCCAGGTAAGGTATACTTAAGTTCAGGAACAAAGAGAAAATCGAGAGTTGAGGAAAATCTATTCTAATTCAAGCTTGTTTTAATAGGATCATTTCTAGTGGTAAAGGCTATTTTGTTTTCTTAAGAAAAGAATAAATCACAAAAAGCAAAATATATCTTGTTTCAAGACTAGTTAATGCTTTCATAAAATATTGTCTAGATAACAGATTCAGAGCTGGAGGCAGAAATAAAAACGTAGGCGTCCTCCCTCCCAGGCCAGCCTCAAGCCATTTCTGGGAAATGTCTTTTAGATTCATGAGTAATTCCTTCCACTACACTCAAAGTGCACGTATCCATGCTCCAGGATGTTAGTATCTTATAATAACTGCAATATAAAACAAAATCTAGCATGGTTAATTTCATAAATTTCAGCTCAGGAATCATATTCACTTAAATAACTCATTAATATAGACCTTTTCTTACACATTAATAACTACTTTACCAAAAATTAATAGGTATGAACAATGGTAAATAACAGAAAATATCAGCTTGATTAACATTAAAATTGAAAATACATTATTTGTGTCAATACTGTTTCTTTCAGCGACTAAACTGAAATTATCGCTATTACTCTAAATTCAAAAGGAGGTAAAAATTATGATGAGAAAAGGTACTAGACGGCAAAATAAAAAATGTCTCATTATTCACTGTTTATCTCTGGGCAAATGAGTCACTCTTACTGGGGTCGGAGTTGTACTGTACAGACCCCAAGATATCTCCAAATTGTAAGATGGTAAAAGTCTCGTTGAACTGATTCACTTCTGAAGTTTGCTGAAAATTCCTTTCCCAAACTCAATCACATACATTTCACTTGGCAGAAATTCAAATTCCCTTTTAAAAGAGAATCACACCAAACACCACCTCTTACTTAACTAAAGGGAGCAATTTATGTCAAAAGTTTTTTTAAAAAAAACCTTTACCAGAGCTTAACGATGCATAAGGAAAGAATTAGGATACTTAGTGTTTATGCATAAAGTTAACAAGTGCCATACCATCAAAACCGCATAGTTACTAAGGGAGTAGCACTGAATGGTCGTGATATTTTCATCTGAGTAGAGTATATGGCACCCGTCTGACTTCCAGCCTCCTTGTCCGTTCAGCAAATCAAAATCCCACTGGGCGGCCACGGCATCTGCTCCGTGCGCAATTCGACGCAGTGTCACATTAACGGGGCTGTGGTGGGTATCTACGTTCACACCATCTGGAGAAAATAAGAAATAAAAGTATTTCTGAAAAACAAACTTCACAAACAGCTAAATGTCAACTTATACACTAATGTGGTATATCCTGCGATATCTTTTTTCACTAGTGACTCATTAAAACAAAAAGGAACAAAAACGAACATTTTTAGGAACAGGGAATTATAAAGTCGCACTGCCCCGCGACTAGAGGAGAACGTATGCCGCATACAAACCTATTTTGGTGAGAATCACGGGGGTAACCACTGCGCGCCGTTTTCCGTCGTCGGCCAAGTTTGTTGAATTTCCGGTGGCTGGAAAAAGCTTTCCGTTGCGGAATGCGATGAGTTGAAGCTTAAAGAGAGAGTCGTCAGTTGGCCTGACTTCTCTTTTTTGCTTTGGTGAGAAAAGGGACGGTGGGAGCTGAATAGAAGCTTCCACAATAGTATTCTGAAAATACATAAAAAACAAAAGCAAAGAAAGGTTGCTCTATTAGTATGTAGAAACCAGAAAGAATATTTTATATCGTTATGAATTTTTTTCTAATTATATGCTGAATAATTTTAAAAGATGTGTATATATGAAATTCGATAGTTAAAGAACTTATCAGTTAAGCGAAATGTCAGAACACAACGTAACAGTATAGAACCAAAGAAGTATAAAATAAAGATAAATGCAAACTCTATTTCAAAGTTAAGGAAATGAACGAGAAACTGTTTCAAACCAGAGTGAATTTTCCCATGACAATATATATTGCTGAAATAGATAGCACTAAACAGATCAAAATCTCAGTGATCACTCTTTATATCAATTTTACAATGACAAACTATGGTAAATAGCACAAATGTAGCATATCACAAAAATGAGTATAATTAACTTGGGTGGATGGAATTTAAGGTGATTTATGATGGATTCAAACTGTCAAACCACAAAAGAAATTATACAAACATAATAAAAGCTTAGATTTCAGCAAACCCTTATTTTAGAAGACATTTCCCTGAGACAAAGAAACACATTATGTTTAGAAAAACATAGTAACAAACAGGAAAAACTAAGGATGTTGGCTGATCATGGAACGTTTTTCAGACTTCTTTATCAGGGATTTTTAAATTATAAATTATGCAGCACTCAATAAAAAATAAATCTATAAAACCAAGAGACAAATTATTAACTCTAAAACAAAATTCCCTATTTTAAGATTTTATCACAGTTTTTCCCTTGGCACTAATCTCTCTCTCTCTTATCCAATATTTATGTTGCCAACAGAATTTCCTCTTAAGGGACAATCTGATTATGTTATTTCTGTTTAAATAATATCTTTGTTTTCAAGTGATTAGAGAATATTGCTCCCTAAATTCTGAGAATACCATACAGTTTGGATAAAAATCTATGTCTCTAATTCATCTTTAACACTCCCTATACCACAAATGATCAATTTCTGAGCCCTCCTACTTTTTTTATTTTTATGTCACTGTGCTCGCTACACATCCCTGGCCGATATGGTCCACTAGTCTCCTGTCTGGGAAACTTGAACTAGTCAGATCTGATGTTTAGCAAGATAATCCTATTGTAATGGAAAGGATGGATTAGAATGAGAAAGGCTGGCAGCCAAGAGGACTTTTACAAAGCCTTTTAAAGGGGATTTTTTTTTTTTTGGATGATTAATGACAAGAGTCCTCACTCAGGATACTGCTTTCAGTTAGCTGCTCCCTCCCTCTTCTGGACTCAGGCAACATTCTGCACACATCTCGAGGGTAACTGTCGAGGGTAACTGATATTTTCAGTGCCACACTGTAACAACTCACCATCTGCTCCTCCAACCAGTGTGGGGTTGTTGAGTACAGATAATCTCACTTATTTCTCTAGATCCCCACACTACATGTTAATAGCAGTTCCTGGCACTGGTATTTAATAAAGGTTGCCCAATGTTTATAAAATTAATGGAAGTCTGTGTGGCATGTTTATTTATTTTTTTTTAAAGATTTTATTTAGGCAAGTGACTGACATTAGAATTAGCTTTTAACTGCTGTGCTTAGAAGAATGTTGGAACACATCAGATGCCCACAAACATCTGTTGAATGGAAGTATTTTGAAAGTTTGCATATTAACAGTTTGACTCCTATTTTTAAACTGAAGATGCCAAGAAAATATTAGAAATATTTCACTTAAGAAAATGCATAAAAGTCTCTACTATTCTCACAAATGTAATCTACTGGGAAAACAAAGTTTATTATAAATTCATTCACTAATCTAGTACATTCCTATTAATTATATAAATTTCTGTTAAGTATACAATGAAGCTTTTAAAAAAGGAAAAATATCAACAGATCGATTAATTAAGAGAGCAAAATCCTGAAAAAGCATTATATAATGGACATTCATTAAAACTTAAGTACTCTATAATTCATAAAACAATTTTGTTGTGAACACAAAATGACTTGAAAATTAAGCATAGCTCTCTGGGAAAGTATTACTTATGACAAATGAAAGTTTAAAAAAAGCCATACTGATGTTTTCTAACAGAGAGCTGAAAAAGAAAATGACATCTATAATTTCTGGAAGTCCAGAATTTTTTTCTACACAAGTTTAAACTTGTAAAACCAAACAACAACGACTTAAAAAAATCCAGGTGTATGGATAGATCACTGAGAGATGAGAGCTACACATTCAAAGCGGTTCCATACTTAAGGTTTCTAAAATACCCCTCAGAGTCCAATAAAGAATATGACTAAATAATGATTACAGATTCCCTAGGATGGAGAGAGGGTGGCCTACGGGTGCTGGAAAAGCAAATCTCAGCTGTATCAATAATGTTTAGAGTTTTATAGTAAGAATGTAATCCTTCTATATTTAATTTCTTTAGAAGAAGTGTTGATCAGTTATTATGTAAAGGTGAGAAATCTAATTTAAAAAACCACTGAGGAACACTTATTTAACTTTGTAAGATTTATATCATGATTATATACCTTTTGCCACTTGGCTTGAAGTTAAGGAACACAAGTTTATAATTTCATTTAACCATATATTTATTTTTAAAAGGATGGGTTGAAGAAGTGGAAATAGATATAAACACACGAATTATAGCTAATAAATGAGAACAAAATTTCTCTTAAAAATCCTTCAGAAAATACATGCTTTTAGTGTCTAACATTTACGATTGAAAGTTCACATGGGATTTGAAACAAGAAACCAGGATGTGAGTCCCAGCATCGCCAGTTAGTAGCTGCCTAATGCTGCCCAGTTTTGTTAGTCTCATCTTAGTCTCGTCTGTCAAACACAGTTAATGATCTTTCAAACGAAGAGCTGTGAGGACCAAATGGCACCATGACAAACACAAAAGGCTAAAGAACTCTCAGTGGTATTTTTATTACTATTACTGCTGCAGCATGGCAACTGGTTATCTGGAGTCGGAGGAGAGAAAATAAAAAATGCCTGTAACTGACTTACCAACAATAAACTAGAACCTCACAATGTTTTCACTTCTACAACTCCAGTATTAATTTCAATACCAAAAATTGATAAAGTCTGAACACACGAGCAACTAATATCACAGAGCTCGTATCACGAATTTATTTGAAAATTCATGTTTCTCTATTTACAATGACATTAAGCTAAGAAGGAAATGTTAAGTATAAACTCAAATACTTCTAGGTTTTAACATCAGTCCTAATACAACAATCTGGACTTCTACCATGGTGTAATTAATATTAAATTTTTCTGAAATACTAGTTTAAGTCTATAGAGTTCTAACATTAAGATCAGAATGATTCGAAGAGCCACCTAATTTAAAACAATACAAATAGACGAATTTCTCCATGTTTTCTTAACTATCTACATACTTGATTTTACAGAGACAGGTATGATGACACATCCTGATTTTATTGTATATAATCTGTTAACTGCATACCGCCTTTTGATTAACTTACTGCTAAAGATTAACAGGGATTCGGTTTCCTTTTAGAATTAATTTTTTAACTGACTTTCTTTACTAATTAAGCATGGCTGTTAATTTTTACTAAACAACATTTATTGTATGTTTCATTATCCTATGCTGGCACTGTGCAGGATTTAGAGCTATACAATGAAATAAGCATGGTTTCTTCCCTCAGATACTCATAATTTAACAAAAGAGAGATAAGAACAATAATAAAACAATAATAAGAGCTAACATTTATTAAGTGCTTACTCTGTGCCAGGCACTTTTGTAAATGTCTGTACTATGCCTCATTCAATCCTCTCAATGATCCTTTCAGTTAAGTACCATTTCATGATGCCTATGGAACAGATGAGGAACTGACATTCAGAGAAGTTAAGGTCCTTGCCCAAGTTTGCACAGCTATTAACTGGGGGAGGAGAACATGAATCTAGGCTGTCTGGCTACAGAAAGACCACCCTCTTAATCACCATATCCTTTGGCCTCTCTCACTATAACTCAACTCACCTTTAACAACTTCTAACTATTCTGGAGAACAAACAAAGCACTAAGGGACTAACAGGCAATGATGAAATCAGAGTTACCATGTGAACGGAGTCTTAGAGACAGAAAAAGGGCAGAAATAAAGTTGTAGATAACTGGCCTGGAAAATTTAAAGGACTTCAGTTGCGATCAAGCCCTACATGTCTGAGATGAGGGGAAAACAGGTGGTAGAGAAAAACTGGTTTCTAAATCCCAGTCAAGAAAGTTTAAAAACAAACAACAAACAGTTCTTTCTGGCTACATTACAGCTATATTTGAAACGCCAACAATTTCTAAACCTCTTAGTAGTTCATCGAAAACATAATATTTGTGAATTATGGTGCCAACAGTGGAAGGAAGCATCTGGTTACAAAAAAAATTCAACGGATTTGATTTGGTGCTGGCAGAGTCAGATGAGAGGTAACTCCATCTCCAACTGGATGACCAACCGAGGCCCACTGGAACCCACTGATGACTCAAGCACGCGCTGTGCCTCCGGCGGGCCTCGGTCCAGTGTGGGAAGGAAGAAGCCCGTCTGGCTCCCACGTGCGGAGTGCAATGATAGAGGTGAGCAGGGTGCGAACGGCAAAGTGAGGGAGAGAATCAAGGAGATGAGGGTGGGAGAGGCGAGGACCGACGGCATGGTAAGAGGTAAGGTTTCTCGAAGGTGACATTTCTGCTGGGTGTTAACATACAACCAAGGAGCTGGGAAAGGGAGGGGAGAGGGAGGAAATTCTAGCAGAATTAGCATGAGGCAGGCTTAAGTATGGCCTGTGGCTGGGAGAGGAACCAAGGGAAGCTGCTGATACTGGACAAAAGGGAAAGGAAGTAGGAAGGGATGGGGAGCGAGGGATCAATCAATGCCAAGTGACGAAGCCACCAAGAGCCAGCCCCCAGAGACACAAAGTATTTATTAGGGGATGCGCGAGGTCTCTTTCCATCTTGGGTAGATCCCATGATAACGTTCACAGTAGTAACAATCTGAAATGACGCACACGCTGACCATCAAAACAGTCTCTGCAGGGAAGATGACTGGGGGGGGGGCCTCCGCTCTGCAGGCACCAGCCTCTCAGCTGCTAAAGGTGGACAGAGCTGGTAGTGTCCCCAGCAGAAGGACCAGCAGTGCTGAGGGGGCACCCAGGGAACTGTGGCGCCCCCCATTTGCTAAAGGGTAAGGACGGACGTATTTCGATATTTTACTAATTGGCATGGTTGCAGTGGTACTTGTTGGCCAAATGTCAGCCCTGGGTAGACCAATGTATGAGAGAGGGATGGGTTTTTAGGAAGAGCCTGGAGACATAGAGACCACATAGGGCAACGGTCTGGGCAACACAGGAAAGAAGTCCAAACGAGGCTGCGATGGCAGGAAAGAGAGAAGGACAGAGAGTCAAGAAACATGTAGAAAGCAATTCGGGTAAGGCTCCTACTGGGAAGGACTGAGTTTTTAAGGGTTTGGTTTCATAGACTAGCACATTCTTCCGTTCTAGGGTAATATAATCAATTTCCGGATGTTCAAATTGTCTATTCAAGGCACTAAAAAAAAAAAAAAAAGTATACGCAAAAAGAGTAAAAATTGCCCGAGGATAAAGTTTAAAATGTAAAGAAAGTTTTTGTTAAAATGCTAAAGCATTTTGCGCTGTCGACATTAAAATGTTTAATTTTGTGTCACGAAGGGTACGTTTCTCTTTTACTCAGTTTAATCATGTCCATCTATGAAGCATGAATAATAGTGGAACGTGTCCTTGGTTTCTGGCCACAAGATGATCTTAAAAGGACAGAATAGTATGAAATTGATAAATCTGAGAGTGTTCATTTAATGCTTTCTACTTTAGCAAGCTGAAACTTTGCTTACCCAGAGGGTAGGTTGTGAAATTGATGATATGTATAGGGTTTCATCATTTTTAATCCCTTTCCACCCACTATGATCACCTAAGGTAGAAGGATTCATCAATTTTAAGTGCTCCTCAAAGACACACAGCGTTCTCTCATGGGCTTGTGTGTGATGCTGTTTCTATGTCTTCTGTGGTATGTTTTTACCAATAAAAAATACAATAAGAAAAGGAGCAGGTCTACAGTAGCACTGCAGGTACATCAAGTACCCTCATGGAGCCAAGAATAACAAATACATCTTGACAATTTTCCTCTGAGTATATGGTACCAAGTAAATATATGATCACTAGACATTCTGACCTAGTTGAGACTGTCTTGGGTGGCAGGGAAAGTTGGCTTTTTCTAAATGGAGCAAACTGGCTTTCCCTGTGGAGGTCACCAGGGTAAGGTATGACAAAATACATTAATTCTTCATTCATTCATTCATTCACTCATTCAATATTTATGAGTGCCCACAATGTATCAGCACCTAACACTTATTTGATGAATTATTACGTAGCCGTTAGTGACTGGGATACTGTTTGTGATATACTTCAGGAACAAGCCAGAAACAAAGAAAGTATTTAGTAATTAAAATCCAGTTACACATGGTCACCAAAACTAAACGAAAAAATGTGGTTCCATTAGGGATTGGAATTATATCTCTTCTATTTGCTCCAATGTGATTTAATGAAACACGTCTGAAACCCACATTATAAAAATAAAAATGCTTTTAATTTTGCTTCCTGCAATAAAACACACATTTTCTGAAGACATATCCCATGTTTTTCTTTGCCAAAAATCTTAATATACAGCTTGTCTGATTAACCGCCCAGCTTCAAGTCTGATTTTCTATTTAGTCCAGTAGGCACAGAGCCAAGGGCACACGATGCTTTCATGTCTTTAAAATCGAGAACAATAAAAATGAACTTTCTTTTTGGTAAAAGAAAGGTAAAAGAAAATGTTTTAATATGTAATATTAATATAGTCATCTTTTTACCACTGCAGTTATAAAATATAACTTTGATATTTTTGCATGAAGAAAAGGGTCCAAGGGCAAAAATGCCTAGGCTTGTGAAAGTGAACTTGTGTCCCTTCCTGGTCTCAATTTTTTAAAAAGAACACAACAATACAACCAATACGCCCTTCTCCTCCCAAATAACTTTCAATAAGGTTATTTTGCAAAGCAAAACATTAACTATTCTAATCTAAGAGCGAAAGGTCTTAAATGATGGCAGAATATAACGTACCTTTAGTGCCAGACTTGAAAATGTATTTGAAATATTGCACTTAAAGCTCAGCTGCTTATCCAGGTTTCCATCCGGATCCCGCCTCCCGTAGTCCGAAAGGCCTGTACGGTCAGAAGCTGCCACCTTCTGGAACACGGTACATGTCATCCCGGTGAAGCCAGTGGCCTTGATGACATAAGCTTCCAGAGCAATATTGGGGGAATACTTCAAAAGTCAATCAAACAGGAGTTATGAAAGATGTCTAATATGGAGAAAATGAACTTTCAAAGACTTTACAAACACAAAACACTGTACCTAAGATAAAAGAGAATGCTTAAGTTCTTACTAAACAAAGACACCGTGTAGATAAACGGTAGGAAAAAAAAAAAAAGATGCTGGGAAAAAAAAGATGTCTCAAAATAAAAAGATACTAATGAAAAGAACAAGTCATGAAGTGTGGAGGATCGGATATGAATTCAAAGTCAATTAAAAATAATTTAAAGAGCGCTGTGTAGGAAACTATAAGCTAAAAATGGAACTGTCTTAGAAAAAAAAATCAGCTAGAGAAATCAGTGGCCTCCCTTAATGATCGTAACACAGGGGTAGTATTAGGGTTTGGGAGACACACTTAAAGTTACTTTGTTCAACACTTCATGCCATATTCACTTTTTTCTTTCACAAGGAGATCTAGTTAACTCTTTGCATTGTTTCACTGGTAAAAATTTTACAGGCTCACTCCGAAGGTGCTTCTTTAGCAAAGGAAGAAAGATGCTAGTCTAAAGAGCAGATGAACAGATGTACAGCGCAAATGAAAGCCAGAAAAACCACCTGAAAAAGATGGCACCTGCTCCAATAGTTTTAAGGAATTCAAGAGTGAGACTGAACTCAGAGAATTTACCAAAATGTAGGACCCGTAAATACAAACAGCCGCCATGCCTACACCTGGAGGACTTCACCACAGCAGGCGTGGATGAGGATTTACTGCAAATTCTAAGGACAACATGGCATCTCTTTCCTTTCTTGAAAGATGAGTAAGACACTATTCTAAGGACCATGTGTAGACAAAATTTTTTTTTTAAAGCATAGGCCTTTTCTCAGAATTCTAGGATAATATTCCACTTACTGTTGAATAAACATGAGCTCCATTTGCAAGTCGGTACATAGCAATCCGCTGCAGACACTGGACAATTCTACTGCAGGCTTTAGCCTCCCTCTGCGCCAGCCACAGGACACGCTCTTCAGCCAACATAATGTTACTTGCGATGTCAACCATCACATCACCTAGCTAGCAGGCATGCAGGAGAGGGAAGAAAAGATCTTTAAAACCGACACAAACTCTTTTATATAATCAAAACCCTCATGAGACAGCAAGAATGGCCTTTGGTCTACATTTTCCCATGAAAACTCAACAGGCACTGTACTTGTTTCTCATTATAACCTCTTCTGATATGAACAGCACATTTGATGATGATAATTTGGTAATATTTAGCTCAAAACAGTGTACTTAAGTAACGACCGAATCATTGGTGAGAAGGCTGACATGCGGTACTCAAACTGATGAGGAAAAGGACAAATTAATTGAGAGGAAGGAAAAAAAACATCGCATGATCCCAGAATAAAACGATCTAAACGCCTGGTCTGGAAAACCATTGATAAACACTTCTTTTAGAGTAAGAGTTATCTTAGTATTACTATTAAGAAACATATACTGCCTGTCTCTTTAGCATCCTAGGTATGTCCAACCACTGCAAGGTCTCTACACATGCTGGGCCACCGCCTGTGTCTCCGCGTGCAGCTTCCGCTACCTCGAATGAACTTTTCCTTCCCTTCCTCCCAACTCAGTGAATGCTTTAAGACTCAGCACCATAAAATAAATGGATCCTAAGAGGTGCTCACTTTTGCACTGCTTGTTTTATTTAAGTTATGAACTGAGCTCAGATGTAAACATCTGTCACGCAAGGCCAGTGAAATGTCCACTGACTGTTGTTGATGCTGACTTGCATGTCCCATGTCAGAGAAATGCACCGAACAGGCGGGGCTAATGAAACATACTGGTGTCAAGGGGGTTTGGTATCGAGCAAAATGTTCAGGAGAAGAAGATCTATGGCAGAAAGAATAACACAAATATTCCAGAGGTAGGATCAGAAGATTTACAAGCTGCCTGGTCCTCTAATCAAGAAGCAAGCATCAAAGGTGTTAAGCCCCAGAGCTGACCCAGAAAGCCAGGGCTGTTTTAGCAAATGTCTTTTGATCGTCCCAGAAGACCCCAAGTGAGCTTCCCAACCCATTGTGCATCCAATACTCTTCCCGGGATGTGTAATTATGAGGGCTGAGGTGAGTTTGGAGAAAGCTGGGTCCGCCCCACCCAGGATTCACTGTACAAAGGCAACCCGTGGAAACCACCAGAAACCAATCCTGCAACCATGGGCTGAAACAGACTGTAGTGAGTACAGAGGTGAAGGACAGGACTTCAGATCCTGCCCCCTAGCTGCACTGGACACTTAACCTCTTATACCCACCTTTATTTCTATGAGGACAATAACAATCCTGCCTGTCCTGAATGTTGTGAAGATTAAGTTTCAATAATACATATAAGAGCCTCCTAAAACCATGCCTGGCGTGTGGTGAGCACTCCAAATATGTTAGCTCTCTTTGTCATTTTATTGATTTTTTTTAAAACCATTTCAATTCCAATATAGGCCTCTCTTTGAAAACAAAAGGCTCTACAAGAAGTGAAAAAGAGAGTACATTTTTAAAGGTCTGTGTTTCTATATAAATAGGACCAGTAAAGTCCAGCAAAACTGCCTCTTCTTCCTCGGCAAAAGCCCCACCACCTCATCCAATTAAAAAAATAGTTTATTGATTTCATACCACTCTTCACGCAGTGTATCGCAATTCTGTATTTCCAATGTAAACACCTTGAGGGCAGGGCCAACGTAATGTCCTACTTATATTTACACCTTTATTCACTAGTGTAAGTCCTGGCACAAAAGCAGATAGGTATACAATATTCATTCACTCGCTGACTAAATATTTATTGAGGACCAAGGTGAGATAGACTGTCCTGAGCAACGGAGACACAGCAGCGAAAGAAACACACAAGCTCTATTTTGGAGTTCATAATCTAGTGAAGAAAATACAAAATAAAGACATTTGTAAAAAGTGACTTAGATTGTGATAAATGCAGTGAAGAAAATAAGTAAATATATGACAAAGAGTAATGAAATTTAATCTCAACACCCTATTTTAATGGACTCGCATGTTCTCAAAGGAGGAAATGTCCCCTAAGCTCAAGAAATTAACAGGATCGATTGACAGAGAATTAGGAAGAACTTGCTCACCCAGTTCATGAAACACTAGCACCTAGTACACATTCCTAGCAACAAACAGCGACGGGGGTGAAGTTCACTCTAACAGAAGCCCTTATTTCTAGAGTTGTGAAGCAGTGTAAGTAACTCTGATACGTCAACTTACTAAATGTCAACCAGCCATTTATACGGCAGTTAGAATAATCACCACCGCCTCTTAATGCGGATTCAGAGCAGCTGAAATGATTTGGTTAAGTTTTTGTCTGTTATTCTGAACTATTGTTATTTCAATTTATTTATGCAAAAATAAATAGGGTAAAAGAGATGTTCTATGGCTATCAGGAAAGAAAATTCCATCGACTGCAAAAGGTTAAAAGAAAAGCTACAGGAAAATACTAACTCTAAGGCACTACTGAAATATAGGAGGTGTTTACAGATTAATGTAAACTTATTGTTTTATACTTTAATAATTTTTTTTTGAAACATACAAACTTTATGAAGATCCAACGTGAGATCTGATAAATGCATCTGATAGATCCATCATCTCTACTGAAAAACTATGTTATATGATCAAAGAAGGATTTCTGTGCCTCACTAGAAAATGCCAGTAATGGAATTTAATGTGTTAATAACTGTAAAGAAAAATATCTCTAAGAAGGTATACGGCTAACTAGAGTGATTGCCTTAACTGAGAACAAGCTATTTTTCTCATTATTTCAACCTAAATGGCTAGGAAGTAAGGAAAAGGATTTGTTACCAAAATATTCCATAGAGCAGGTGATCACAGAATGCTACCTGCTTGCGTAGCTTGGTTATGGAAGCTGCCCTTCCGGGGCAAAAAAAGAAGACAAAGGAGATAACAGCACGAAAAATTATATTGGATTAAATAAGTATTTCCTGAAATCCGACACACAAAGAGTTTAAAAACCGCAACGAGCATTAGAAAGCATTGTATTTCTCCTTGACCTCATTCCCTGAAGGCCATTCCAGCCACAAAAGGGTCAGAAGGAATCACACCTGCTCTCCCACCTGTCACAATGAACGGTGAGGATCAAATGAAAATATGTGTGAATGTACTTTATAAAAGGCAAATGGTAAAGCATGGAAACGGCACAGCTGTAACCATGAAGGTGTTAAATGTCATCTGTTTTAAGAGACAGGATTTCTCGTTCTCAATAGGTGTTTGGAATTCTGATCAAAATAAGACCAAAAGTATCTGTAGATTTCATGAATTTTAGGTTAGCACAGGAAATACACAAGATATTACATCAACTAAACTTGATATTTCATTTTAATGTAGAAGTATCGTGTAATCCTGAAGGCAGAACATTCATGTGTCGGAGAATAAAATACTCCTGGGTTGCAACTGCAATTTTGTCACAAGTTAGAAGTCTGTAATCAAATTATTTAGCCTCTCAAGCCTCAGGTTGCTCATTTGTAAAATGAGATCAAGAACCCTGTGAGAAGTACTGGGAACATCTCATTCCATAGTAAACTAAGGAAAAAAAAAAGGCAAGAAAATAAGTATCTTCATTAAGCAAACCAAGGAATCTACATCCCTCCCCAGATTCGAGTTTTCAAGCAAAGCAGCAAGGGGTACTTTTGATTCCAATAACCAGGAAAGCAAGAATTACAGACCTAAGTGTGGCAGCGGCAACAAGCTATACACTTGTTTTGGGACAGCTAAGATGGAAACAGGAAGTACAGGAATTGACATGTAGTCCAAACTTGACTAAATAATGATAAAAGCAGCTGATATTACTAGTATTAAAAGTTCAAGCAGTCTTGATGATTTTCTTCTAGTTACAAATTAAGTAGAATACTGAGATGACACCTATCTTAAAGTATGTTCTTACCATGATTACTTTTAATGAAGAAATTGCTCTGCGGGAAAGTTGTTTTAAAAGTGCATTTATATCACTCTTAAGTAGCTGCCGTTGAGTGTCTCGGGGTCCTACTACTGGCTTCTCGCAGCTTGCTAATTCGGCTGTCAACATTCAACAAGAGGTTCCACTGTGACAATCATCAGGGCCTAGGCCACCTATTAAATCTCTGATTTTACTGAGCTGTATGAGTAAACAGGAGGATGATGAGGATGATGATGAGGAGGAGGAGGAGGATGATGATGGAGGAGGAGGAGGAGGAGGAGGATGATGATGGAGGAGGAGGAGGATGATGA